CTTATGATCCTTCTAGTAATTGAGAATTGAGATCTTATATTTTATTTTTATTTAAAGAATACATATATTTACACATGATATATTTGTAATCTGACTCGAATTTATAATTTTATATTGAATATAATTATTTATTTTTTAAAATACATACCAGATATAATTTTTCTTTGTCTGTGCAATTGTTTATCAAATATGATTATTGCATTAATATTCATGTTTTTATCGTCTGTGATATCAAACACTTGTTATTTAAGGACTGACATGTCAAAATTCAGCATGCATATCACGAAGGAAATAAATGTACTGACTGATTGGTAAAATTTTGACTTCTCGTTACAGCTTGATCTTCATCTGCATGCTCATGTGTCAGGTGATCTCCAACAGTTTATCACGAACGATGTCACGGGAGTTTCTTGGTTCATGATGTAACACCCATTAATTTTGTCATTGATTATTATTATTTTTAATTAATTTTTGAATTTATTTTATTTAGTTTATTTTATAATTTTTGAATTTTAATTGATTTATTTAATTTAATTTAATAAGAATAAAAATAATAATAATGATAAAATTGGGTAAAAATATTATTTGGATTTAATTGAAATTGATTTTGGGAAAAAAAGGGTGAAAATTAGGATTCTGGGGGAATTTTTGAAAAGAAAATTGAAAACCGGGGGTCAAAACGCAATTTAAAAAAATTGTGCCCTGTTAGCGCCACGTCAGCAGCCACGTCAGCGGTCCAGTCAACAGCCCTGGCCAACCAGGACCTGCCGCTTGGCAAGACCACGTCGACCCGGGAACAGGCCACGTGGGCGATCCGCGTGCGCGCGATCGGACGACCCAGATTCAATCGCGCACGGACGGTCCAGATTTAATCAAAATGGACGGCTGTGATCAAAATGCAAAAGGGTATAAATAGAACCCCCACACCTGACCACAAAAACCCTAGCCTCCTGCCCTCGCCGGAGAAGACGAACCAGACGCCGGAGGAGCCGGCCGCTGCCACCCACCGCCGCACCGGGGAGTTTTCCGACCGCCGATCGAGGTAAATTTCATACCCCTGGTTCGTTTTTCCACACTGAGTTCTCCTGTGGCCAAATCGGAGCCAAAATTCCGGCCAAACGGCCGAAACCCAGCGGCGTCGCCGCGTCCCTCCTCGGTTTTTGCCTTCGATGAGGCCCTTCCCGGCCTCCGTTTGATATAATTTTTATATCACCGTGATTATCATTCTTTTCTCTACAGGTTGATCGGAGCCAAATCACCAAAACACGAACCTCGCCGGAGAGCCGCCGCACCTGAGAGCACCGCCGCCGGTAAGCTTCGGTTTTTCGTAATTTTTTGGTCCTCCGAGGGCCCTAGGGTTGTTTTATCGCAGGGACCGATGCAAGTGTAGCCGAATTCGGTCAGAAACGGCCGAAAACGGCCAACCCGAAGCGAATCACCGCCGCAAGCGGCTGCGCCGTCGCCGGAGCACGGCGGAGCCGCCGTGCCGGAATTGTGATATTGGCCGAAAGGGGCCCTGGGTCTAATTTGGGATTTTTTGGGACACGTACAGGTACCAGTAGTGCGTTTCAATTCCCCAGAAAGAATTCAGGAAAATTAGGGACAGCCTGTAGGCGCACTGTAGAGCCGTATTCGGACCCCGAAACAAGTAAGGACCCCTCACCCTATTTCCTATCACGGTATTAAAGTTCAATAATGATAAAACGGTATTTC